ATTACACACGGCTGTGACCTTCAATCTTATATATGTTAGGTTTGTGACTAGTTGTGTTTCAAGCTCTTGTTTGGTTATTTTGAGTCTTTTGGGTGACCTTTACAATCTTCTGTTTCACTGCTGGGAGCTTCAGATTGTTGGCAGGCTTTTCAGTTTCTTATGTTCTTTCAGGTAGGGTAGAATGCAAACATATCCGTTAAATTGGCAGATGACCGCAACTCTGAAACGAAAGTGATTTTAGGCAAATATTTATTTGCACAGGGATACAAGATGGTAGTAGATTCCTGTGTCAGTGGCATTCCAGAGTGTGAAAAGACTCTAGATTGGATTTTTTCAAATTAAAAGTACATCTGCAGAAAATTGTCACCTTAAGAATTTCCTCATGTGTAACCAAAGTGGGAGTACGGGTTGTAACTGTACTCTGAATACCAGTGGAATATTTGTTTTCCATACAGAGCTTGTCTGTCTGAAAGTGATTCACGAATGTGACTTGCTTTTGGAGATTAGCCACAATAATGTAGGCAAAGGCAGTGGCAGCATTCATATTGTGCTCAGGAATGTCTCACATAGCAATGAGATGAACGGCCACTTAATCTTTTTTGTTAAAGGAGGATTATTGGTGACAGTGCCAGGAGTAACAGAAAATGAGTAGCAGCTTTGACTATATCCTGTTGAATAAATGATATTGTGGTCTAGCTGCAGTGTTCATTGCTGACCTGTGTAGTCATATGCAGTAGAAGTAGTCATATTTAAAATCAAATCACGTGGAGCTTGTAGCACTGAACCAATTCATTTGACTCAAAAGGCCCATGCTGGTGTCTATGTTCCTCAAGGCCTCCTCTAACTCTACCCTATCTCACAGGATCTGCATATTCTTCTAGCCCTTTCTCTGCTATACTTTCATCTAATTTCCCTGTAAAATTCATGTGTACTAGTTGTATTAAGTACTGATTCTTATGACAGTAAGTTCCATTTTGTCACCACGCTGAGTAAAGATGTATCTTCTGATTTCCCTATTGGATATTTTCATGACTAAGTTGTACTTACGACTTCTAGTTTTGCATTTTCTAACTAGCGGAAACATCTCTACAACTATTGTACTGGACCTATTCATATGTTCAAAGGCCTCAATTATGCCAAGCTCAGCTTTTTGTGAAGAAAAGAATTTGTGCCTGTTGATTTTATTCCTCTGGTAGTTGTACCCTTGCTGTTCTGGTTACCTTATAAATATTTTTTGCACTTTGCCAAAGCATGTTAAGTGTACCTTGTGGAGGCAACTGGGCTCTTGGCTACAGTATAGAGAATCAGTGAGGGTCCCCATCGCCTCTTTTTGCAGTTCCAGCTGTATCTTATTCTACATGAGCACTTGACAAACCAGTGGTGGGCCTTCCCTTGAGATTAAGGACTTGGGGCAGAAAGCTATCGGAGACTGGCAGGTGTGTTAAATGGCATTGTCGCTGGGAAGGCAGAGTATGGTACCCACCATCATCTTAGTCTAATAGGAAGAGCAGGCATGGCCAGATTAATAAACACGGGAGTCGTGGTCTAAAATGTGTTTATTTTAATGCAAGGAGTGTAATTGGTAAAACAGATGAGCTTAGAATCTGGATTCGTCTGTGGAACTACGATACTGTAGCCATCACAGAAACTTGGTTGAGGGAAGGGCAGGACGGGCAGCTCAACATTCCAGGTTTTAGATGTTTCGTGTGTGATAGAGAGGGTTGTAAAAGGAGTGGATAGATTTACTTGCATTTGGAAAAGAATGGACTTATCAGTAATAGGCAGAATGGCTTTGTGCAAGGGAGGTCTTGTGTCTCAAATTATTCAGTTTTGTAAGGAACTGACAAAGGTGATTGTGGATAGGGTACTGAATGTTGTCTACCTGACCTTTTAGTAAAGCATTTGACAAGGTCCCTTGTGGTAAGCTGGTCCAGAAGATTAAGTCACATTGCAACTATAGTGAGTTGGTACATTGGATGCAAAATTGGCTTGGTCATAAGGCAGAGAGTAGTTGTGGAGGGGTATTTTTCTGCCTGGAGGTCCATAACCAGTTGTGTTCTGCAGTGATCAGTGCTGGGACCTCTGTTGTTTTGTAATATATATAAATGATTTGGATGAAAATGTAGATGGTCTGATTAGTAAGTTTGTAGATGACATGAAAATTGGAGTTATGGATAGTGAGGAAGAATATCAAAGGATACAGCAGGATATTGATCAGGTGGAAAGTTGGGCAGAAAAATGACAGATGGAGTTTAATCCAGTGAGGTGATGCATTTTTTTGGAGGCCAAATGCAAGAGCAAAACATAAGTAAATGGCAGGACCCTTAGGAGCATTGATATACAGAGAGATCTTGGGATCTAGGTCCACAGCTCCCTGAAAGTGGCAGCACAAGTGGATAAGGTGGTAAAGAAAGTGTGGTGCATGCTTGCCTTGATTGATTGGGACATTGAGTATAAAAGTGGCAAGTCATTCTGTATAAAACTTTAGTTAAGCCACATTTAGAGTATTGTTTGCAGTCCTGGTCGCTGCACTATAGGAAGGATGTAGAGGCTTTAGAGAGGGCACAGAAGAGGTTTACCAGGAGGTTGCCTGGATTGGAGTGTATTAGCCATAAGGAGAGGTTGGACAAACTTGGATTGTTTTCACTAGAGTGTCAGAGGCAGAGGGGCGACCTGATAGAAGTATATATAATTTGAGAGGTGTGGATGGACTGAATCTTTTTCCTTGGGTACAAATGTCAAATAATAGGGTGCATAGGTATAAGGTGAGAGGAGGAAAAATTTTTAAAAAAGCCTCAAGCAGCCTCACCAGATGTTGACATTAGGAACACTGACCATGTGCTTCCTTGAAATCTGTTTTTAAATTAAACCAGTATTGCCAGTCTTTTTTCCAGTAAATCCTGTTTGGAATCATTTGAAGAGACCTATTGATGGTGGTGTGTAGATTGCTGGCAGAGTTGAAATTGCTTTGGTTTGCTGAGTAGGTTTTCGGTTCATTCTTCAATATGTGTCCAACAGATATGTTGACAGCGCCATCTTGTGACAGTTCTTGATGGGTTTTTTCCTAAACATTCCTCAAATAGATTTCCTGTCCCTGTTTTGTCTATTCTTTTATTTTGGTTGGAGGGGATTGCAGGGCTGCATTGTGGCAAGAAAAGGAGAGGAACAGATTTCATACGCTGGAAACTCTTATGACTGCCCAGAAATGCAATGTTTTGTTAGTGGTTTGAGCCCTGTTCTACTGTATAATGGAACATGCAAGCATGAATACAGAATACATTTCGGTTGTCTAGGCAATAATTTCTGGACTTCCCTCCTACACCTCTTCACTTCTTTACCTCACTTTGGCTTTTGACAGTCCTTGAAGTCTATCCCTTTGTCTAAATTTTGGACCATCTGACCGAACTTCTTGTGTTGCTCTGTCTTCTGGTTTCTTTAATAAAGCTCCTGTTGAAGTGCTTTGAGACTTTTTATAAGTTAAAGGTGCCATATTAACATAAGTAGTTGTATATGAAAATATAGTTAGGAAATTAATGACTAGCAGCATGCAATTTATACAAGAGCTGCATTTTTCTAAGAACGTTAGTCTGGTTGACCATATTCCGCAGGTGTAACTTTGTTTGTGTTGGTTTTGGCTCAACAAGTAATATTTTTCTTAAGCCTAAGGTTTGAATACAGTTACTATGTTTTCTCTTTGTTACAATGTTGATTACAATTTTTAAAAAGTCTTTGTAGCATTTTGATGTTCTGACATCAAAGATACCATATAAATTAGTTCTTCCTTAGCCCTGGTAAACACCATAAGGTTTAGTTTGCATGGTTTGAGATTTCTGATCAACCACATCCAACTTTTCAAAATGGAGAAATCTACTGCATCTCTACAATATATGAGAAATACTCAGTTTTATTGCTTGTGAGCTGATTACAAAGGACACTGGCAATGCTGGTTGTTTTAAGTAATTTATATGGAAAATCCCAGCATCGTGACTTTACATGCTGTGAAATTTTCGTATCAAAAACACTACATTAAATTTGACTACACTATCCCATTTAAGTTAGTGCTAATTTTTCTGTTAGCAGAGTTGTCACTAAGTGTCACATTAGTGTCCAAATTTTACTGCACTTTCACCTATTTTTCATCTGCACTCAAATAAAGTCTTTGAGTTTTGCGTATTCACTTCTCAGCATGCATATAGCCCTTAATGCTGCTCTCGGACTAATCATATTTGACAGATCACTAGAATTGAATAACTTATTGTTCAAAAGGGGCAATAGAGACAGCGGTAAAGAATATTGCAGTCATGCCTGAAGAGTTGCACATTGTGATCAAATTTTGGTTTGGGGTGTGTAACCATGTCAAAAGGAAAGTTAGTTAGGATAAGAAAAGTTGGTATGGAGTGAGCCACTCCCTCATTTTCCCCACTGCTTGTATTGAGTATGTATTTTAAAAAATTGTGTGAAGACTGAAGTGTGTCTGGGAGTAAAAATCCTTTTGGAAAACTACAAAATGCTTATAGGTGGAATCATTTTGTAAATGATAGAAATTAATCTTGTAAACTTTGAGCATGATGAGAACAAGTACACATGTTTTGGTGGGGGGTGGGCTTTACTGTTTTAATGAGGGACAGAAAGTAGGAATGCAGGAAATGTAATTCATGTCACCAGGCTACTGGCTGTGGTCCAATAGTTTTGAGTATGTGCATGCAATAGGATGCTATACAGTGTGTGGACAGCACAAAAAGAGGAGTTTTTGGGGGGAGAGAATATGGGAAAAATGAGGAAAGGAGGAGGATTGTTCAGAAAAATAAATTAAATGCAGAATTGTTTAGCATAGCTCTTTTGCGAAGTTAGATGATTTAAGAACTAACCAAATAAAAGCCATGTGCTTATATTCTATCTAAAACTATAGATGCTGTTAAATTGGTTAGTCAAACTTGAAGGTTAATACAAAAATTTTGTTTTTCACAAGATTTTGTACATATGGAAGTTTTTCATCGAAAATGTTTTTCACTTTAAACAGTGTCCCCAACTCCTGCCCTGTGAGTCCACGTGGTGCCGGCTCCTCTGGTTACCGGTTTGGGCGCAACATCACCAGAGATCTCCAGCTAGCGGCAGCATTTGCAGAAAAAGCAGCATCGGAGCAACAGGCAGAAACATCTGGTGGTGACAGCCCCAAGGTTTGGAAATGTGTTAAGCTTGTAAACTCAGACATTTATAGCACTGCAGGATGCCATGCAGCCCATCATGTCTGTGGCTGCTAACAAAGATCTGACTACACTAATCCCATTTTCCAACTTTTGGCTCATAGCCCTGGAGGCTATGATAACACAGGTGAATATCTAAATACTGTGTAAATGTTACAAGAATTTCTGACTCAACTACTCATTCAGACCGTGAGTTCTAGACTTCCACCACCCTCTGAGTGAAACAAAATTCTCCTCAACTCACCTCTTCGCCTTCTTTCTCTTACCTTAAATCTATGCCCCTCGTTATTGATCCCTCTACTAATGGAAAAAGTAACTTTCTGTCCACCCTTTCTTTGCCTCTCATAATCTTATTGACCTCCTAAATCGGGTCTTCTCAGCAACATCCACTGTCCAAGCAAGATAACACCAGCTTATCTATTATTTCCTTACAGCTCTGATCCTCCAACCCAAGGAACATACTGGTAAATCTCCTCTGCAACCTGTCTAATGCAGTCACATTCTTCTTATAACATGGTGACCAGAAATGCACACAATAATGACCTAAACAGCATTTTGTACAGTTCCAGCACAACCTCTTTGCTCTTCTATTCAATTCCTCAGCCAATAGAAGAAAGTATCCCATAACCATAACTGCTTTAACCATCCTACCTACCTGGCCTGCTACTGACAAGGATCTGTGGATATGCACACCAAGATCCCTCTGATCTTCAGTACTTTCCACGGTCCTACCATTCAGAGTGTAATCCCTTGCCTTATTATGTCTCCCCAAGTGCACTGCTGCTGGGTTGAATTCAATTTGAGTTTGATTTATTGTTGTCACGTATCAAGATACAGTGAAAAGTGTTGTTTTATGTGCTATACGGGCAGTTCATCAGGGTGCATCAGGGTAGCAGAACAGAGTGCAGAACACAGTATTACGGCCGCAGAGAAGATACAGAGAGAGAGGTCAAAATTAGCATTTGATAGATCTGTTCAAAAACCTGAAAACAACAGGGAAGAAGCTGTTCTTGAATCTGCTCATATGTGTATTCAGACTTTTATGTCTTCTGCCTGACAGAAGAGGGAGGAAGAGAGTATAACTGGGGTAAGAGGGGTCTTTGAATGCTTTCCCAAGCCATTGGGAAGTATAGATGGGGTCAATGAGCTTGCTGGTGTATTGACTTGTCCATTAGCTGCTAAATCTGCTCTTACCTCATCTCTCTCCATGTTAATTTCTTCTAATATTTGACAGTCTTCCTCTGATATCTGTTATCGTTAAAGCCCTATAGCTTTAAATTGAGGGGTGATAGATATAAGACAGATGTCAGAGATAGGTTCTTTACTCAGAGAGTAGTAAGGGCGTGGAATGCCCTGCCTGCAAAAGTAGTAGACTCGCCAAATTTAAGGGCATTTAAATGGTCATTGGATAAACATATGGACGATAATGGAATAGTTTAGGTTAGATGGGCTTCAGATTGGTTTCACAGGTCGGCGCAACATCGAGGGCCAAAGGGCCTGTACTGCGCTGTAATGTTCTATGTTACTATGTTGTTCTTTCCATTGTGAAGATTGATGCAAAGTATTCATTTCAGGACTGTACCCATGTCTTCCAGGTCTACACATACACATTCTCTGTGGTCCCCAATGCAAGTGAAGCTCACAGTTCTGTGGTGTCCTCCCCCTCTCCCCAAACTTTCTCCCTTTTCTTCCCCCTTTGCTACTGAAGTTTGTGACTCATGCTGGTCTCAGCAGCTCTTTTCTTATCCTGTTTGAATTCTTTTAAGTATTGGGAGATTGTTATTGTCTAACATCAACAAACATTGCTTCTAGCAAAAGTGCTGGATGTTGATCATAGTCCAGAGTGCCCAACTCCTTCCATTTCACCTCCTGTTACTCATCCCACCTTAGGCATATAGTACCCAATTATTTACACCCAGCACTGTTTCATTTGACATCAGGTATCTTGGCATAGACTAAAGATCAAAATGTAGCATCTTGTTCCACATGGTCTGTTTTATGTGGAACCAAGTATGAAAATTGAATTCTAAGCATCTGTGTAGTACGTCAATCTCTAATTGTACCACAACGTAGAGGGTGGAAAACTTGCCCTTTCACTACATGCTTCAGAATCTTTGCAGGAATGTATCATTTGAGGGTGATACTTTACAATTCATACCTGTATTCTGCCTGTTGTGTTAAACCTGGAATTACCTAATGCCAATAAAACTAATTCAATTTAATGAAAAACAGTTAGGTTCAGAATCTAAACAGAACTGTTTTTCAAAAATGTCTACCTTTTCTGTGTGTATCAGACTTTTTGTTAATTTTTTCTCTCTGTTTTTGACAAGGATGATTCAAAGCCCCCCTACTCCTACGCACAGCTGATTGTACAGGCCATATCTTCTGCTCAGGACAAACAGCTAACACTAAGTGGCATTTACGCACATATCACAAAGCATTATCCTTATTATAGGACAGCTGACAAAGGATGGCAGGTGGGTGAATTCTCAAAGTGACATTGTAGAGGAAATTATTTGATAATTTACCTAGTTACACCATGAATGATAAATTTATTAGATTAACTGTGCTTTAGGATTGTCTTATGCTCATCAAATGCTTCCCAAACTTTATAAAACTTTATAAAATTTAATTGCAGTTTGGTTAAATATTGACTTACATTAATGGGCGTTATTTAAAACTTGTTGAATTAGTTGTCCTTTTCTTAAAACTTGGTTCAATTTCAATTAACATGGCAGATTACATATCCCATTAATTGAAGATTGCTTCTTTGTTCTGGATTTTTCTGTCTGAACTTCTTGGGAAGAATACTTTTCAAAGTGAAGAACATTGGCTACAGTAGCAACAGTTTTGCATTTGCAAAGAATGAGCCATTTGAATGGAGAGACCAACTTTTCAGAGAGGTCAGCTGACCCAATTTATGGGTGTGAAAGTTAGTTTTGAACACAATCAAAAGAGAACTAGTAGTGGGAAAACTGTCTCTTTTCTGTCTGAGATCCCTAACTTCAAAGTATGTCAGTAGAAACCCACTGGAAGATTTCATTGGCAAGGAGAAAATCAATACCACTGGCTACAGAAAAAGAGAACATCCAGCCATTACTGATTCAGGAAGAAGTGGAAAGTGGTTTTAGCTACAATCTGAATATTTTTTTCCTAAATTTAACTGTTACTTGACCAACGTATTTTTATGGTAGTCCTCTTCATACTTCTTTTATTTAAACAGGCTGGGAGGAGGATGTGTCTGCTGTTTTTCAAAAAGGATAGTTGGACCTGTTTGGGATTTTAAACCTATGTTAATGGTTTTTGCACGTTTGCTTGATTGTTTTATAATAATTTAATAAACGAAGGACTAAGTTTAAGTTTAATCATAGAATCCCTACAGTGTGGAAACAGGCCCTTCGGCCCAACAAGTCCACACTGACCCTCAGAGCATCCCACCCAGACCCATCCCCCTATAAACCCACCGAATCTACACATCCCTGAACACTATGGGCAATTTAGCATGGCCAATCCACATCTTTGGACTGAGAGAGGAAACCGGAGCAGCCGGAGGAAACCCATGCAGACACGGGGAAAATGTGCAAACTCCACACAGACAGTTGCCCGAGGGTGGAATTGAACCCAGGTCCCTGGCACTGTGAGGCAGCAGTGCTAACCACTGAGCGACCGTGCCGTCCCAAAGTAATGTGGTTCGTTTGCTTCTGATAGTGAGCCATGTACACTCTAATGTATATTATACATACTGGTAATATAACATTCTGTTTAAGTTAAAACTTTGTGACCAGTGCAGGGGATTAAAAAAAGATACCAGCCCATCCCCTCCTAACTTGGTCATAACACATTCTATGGTTCTGGATACAATTCTACAGTCTAAAGATATGATGAAAACTTAAAAATTGTCATCAATGAACATAATTTACAAATCTAGTTTGATATCAAGCATGCGCTTGAACTCTTTACTGGAAGAATGTGGACAGTGCAGAGGAGTGGATAAATTAATTCTAACTAAAGCTTAAAATAATTGTTGGAAATCATAGAAACATAGAAAATAGAAGCAGGGATAGACCATTCTGTCCTTAGAACCTGTCCACTATTCATTATGATCATGGCTGATCATCCAACTCAGTAGCCTGTTCCTGTTGTTTGATATGCTAATATCTTTAGCTTTAAGTGCCATGTTCAACTCCTTGAAATCATACAACATTTTGGCCTTCACTGCTTTCTCTGTAGTGAATTCAACAGGCTCACGACTCTGGATTAAGAAATTTCTCCTCGTCTCTCAGTCCAAAATATTTACCTGCTATCCTTGGACTGTGATTCCTAATTCTTGACTCCCCTGCTATCAGGAATATCCTTCCTGCATATACTGTGTTTAGTCCTGATGTAACTTTGAGATCAGCCCCACCCACCCACCAATTCTTCTAACCTCCTGTAAATACAATCTAAACTCTCAATGTCTCCTCATATGTCACTCCTGCCATCACAGGAATCAGAATGCTAAACCATCACGGCATTCCCAGTATAGCATGAACTTCCTTGCTCAGATAAGGAGACCAAAACTGAGCACAGTATTCCAGATGTGGTCTCGCCAGGGCCTTGTATATTTGTAGCAAGACATTCCTGCTCCTATATCCAAGCTCTCACTATGAAGGCCAACATACCACTTATTGCCTGCTGCATGCTCACCTTCAGCTTGGTGTACAAGGATACCCAGGTCTTGTGGCATGTTCCCCTCTCTCAATTTATAGCCATTCAGATAATAATCTGCCTTCCTGTTTTGCTACCAAAGTGGATAACCTCACATTAACCCACGTTATGTTGCGGCTGCCATGCATTTGCCCATTCACTCAGCTTGTCCAAATCACACTGAATCAGAGTAGGAAAGATGGAAGAATCAGAGATTCTAAATTAAGTGCAATTTTCTCTTGCTAGGTTTTAAATTTTTATGTTTATGAGTATGGATTGAAATGTTCCTGTGATCCAATTGCAAAATTACAGTGCACATGCAGAATGTCTCCTGTAGGCCTGCTGCCCTTGTCTTTAGTAAAGCCTGTCTAAAATGTTCTCTTTAATTTCAAATTTTTTTTTAAACAGAAGTGAAATAAAATGGTATGGGGGAGGAAACAAACTCAAATCATTAACCACTTCATTCAGTGGGAGAAACAGTAATAGATTTAAAGGCTGTATTTCCACAAGTATGTTTAAAGGCACCAAAACTGGATTTATGATTTGAAGCAGAGAGCAGCAATCACTCAATCGATGTGCTTAATGTTGAGCTGCAAACTAGAAGCAGTATAAACGGAAAAGAAAGCAATACATTGGTATACTTCTGCTTGGTGTGTGAGTGAATCTCATTGATTCCACAAAGGACGGTGAGTTGTAGACAGTTCCCCAGAATGGACTATAAGTTGCTCTTGTTATGCACATTGGTTTCTATTTTAATGGTGGGAATTTAGAATAGACTTGAAAAAGAAAGATTTTCAGGTCTATGGGGAAAGAGCAAGGGGGCTGATTTAGTTGGCATATTTAATGAGCTAGCACAGACACAATGGGATAAATGGTTTCCCTCTCTGCTGTATGATACAATGTTAAGCTTATATTAACCAGTAAAAATAAACGCTCTTAAAATTTCACATCTTGATTATTTATCATGGAGCCAAAATAATTAAGTTCAGGTGGATTGATCCTGAATTGCTCTGCTTTGTTCAATCAGCCCCATCTTGCAGCTTTAAATGCAGTTGAGCTTTCAGTATTTTCTTTTCTTTTGAGACAGAATTCAATCCGACACAACCTTTCTTTAAATCGCTATTTTATCAAAGTACCACGGTCACAGGAAGAACCTGGAAAAGGGTCATTTTGGAGAATTGACCCCTCCTCGGAAGCAAAGTTGGTGGAGCAGGCATTCCGAAAACGCAGACAGCGAGGGGTCTCTTGTTTCAGGATGCCATTTGGACCCATCTCCTCCAGGTTAGAACCTTTACCAATTTGCATTTTGCGTATTATTGACTGGTTTTTAAGTTGTAAATCACAGTGGAATGCTTTCTTGTCAAGCTCATGCCTTAAGCTGTGCTGTGTAAAGATTTGATCAACGCACGGGTAGCCAACATTCTGACAAAATCTTGAATAACATGCACTTGCTTTTGGTATAATTAGAAAAGCTGTAGAGTTGCTGGTACTTGATTTATATAGACAACACATTGTATATTATTAGTAACTATTCCTAACATGTATCTCTGTCTGTACAGTGACTTGTATTTGTGCACTAGATCCAGCCGAGGAATGCTTTGGTAAAAAGATAGTCCCAAATTGTACTGGAATCAAGTGGGAAATACTATGAATGCTCTAAGACATAGATAACTCTGGGCTGTTTTGCTAAAGATACAAGTCTCCAGTAGTCTGTTACTTGACACATTTAAACTAAAATTTTCACTGCAGAAACAGCCATAATCCTGTAATAGCTGTGGTATCCCAGGTAATCCCCAAATGCTCTGGTTTTTAAAAAAAATACCATACAGTAAATAGTGCTGACTCTCTTGCCTTCTTTTTCCCTTGTGCTGTCCTCTGGCTGTGAGCAGAGCTGAGTAAGTGTTTTCTGTTGTTCCTACTGTGATTATACTGTTCCAATGTGTGCACTGAACACCGCAGACAGTGTGACGGAAGTGATTTTTTACACCCTTTAGTTTGGAAATTTGAACCTTCAATGAAATAGCCTAAGAAACAGGCAAAATCAAATAATGCATAAGGGATTTTGGTTTCATCAGTTTGGTTTCAGTTGCTGCTGCTGTCCTCATTGGGTCTCCACGCTAGCTCTAGGATATTTACCGATTCACCGTTATTTTCTTCTTTCTTTTTTATTGACAAAGAAAGAAAGAAAGAAATCCTACTGGAGCAGCACTATTCTGGCTTCCAGATGGCAAGCAGAAAAGTTTTAGTGCAGACTTCCACCTGCCACTGTTTTGCTTAATGACCTGGAAACGAGCGCTATTTCAGACAGAAGTTGTTGTTCAATGTTTTCCACGTAACCAAATCTGAATGGCATTTTTGAGACTGATGGTTTACTGGTCTTCTGAGTGGAAATTTTAAACCAGAATTTGAATTTTGTTAACTGACGATTTTTGAACTTGGTACATGTTATAGACTATTGTCCTGGACATTCAGCTAAACTTGCATTTTAAAGTTGGATCTGGCTCCTTTTCTGCATTTAGCTGCACAGTAGAGTAAAATGACTAATGGTTCCACATTTAGGTTACAGATGCAGTATGGCTTTACTTTAGTTGGACCTATCTTGTTCTGCTCAAATGAATATTTCTATATTAGTTTATTGCCATTAGCTTTTCTCACACTTACAAGTTGAGTGGGTATACAGGTAAAATATTACCACCTTCCTAATTTCTTCTGTAACTGCATTTGGACTAGGTGATACCTTATTCTTCTGCAGTCTATTACCCTGAGTAAATTTGAGCTCATCCACACTCAGCTGGCTATATTTCTAATTCTCAGTGAGTCTGTGTTGGCCGTTACCCCTCGCTTACTAATCCTACATTGGTTCCAAGTCTGGCAGCAACTTAATTTTAAAATACTCATCTTTTATTGTTATTGTAGAATCAAGACTTGGCATATGATTTTGAAAGCAATGATCTGTTTCCTATTCCTAATCTTATTTTTTTTTAGGCTGACTTTATCTAGCGTAGTGATTCGCAGGATAGTTTTGGATGAAGAAGACTTATCATTGTCAGAATACCAACTCTACTGTCTTCTCACTACTGTATCCAACAGTTTTGAGATATTAACATCCAACTTCCTGCCACTGTTTCTTGAAGCCTTTTCATAAAGTTCTTTTGGCAATGTACTCTCAATCTGACTATTTTAATTCTAGCACATTTAATTTTGAAACAGGTAATACAATATTAATATTAATCGTGTCCTCTGAGAATTTTGTTTTATTATTAATAGTTAAATATTCATTAACCAAACTCCATTGAGACTCGTAGCAGTAGAATTTTTTTCTCCGTTTGCTGGACGGATAGAAAGTTCATGAAAGCTTCCTAGGGGATCATGATCTATGAAAGTAATCTAGAAGATCAAGTCCCTTTCACTAATTAAAAATGCCTTTGTGGGGTCTTAATTTTATTTTCCATAAACTCCACATGTTACTTTTGTTATGTCTTTGAAGAAAGACTGTCTTTGCTGGTAGCATGTTGACTCAGTGAGTTTAATCAATTTAGTAGTAAATCCTGGTTTTATGTAGCATTCTGATTGGTCAGTTCTTTAGACATGTGATGTTTTGGCAATGCACGCAAGATTGTTTCATTTCTAGATTATGGTGCTGAAATTCTTTTATACCATTGCATTCCTCAGAGATCAGACACAAGAATGCATTCCTAAATATTAGAGTTTGGATTTCCTGTACAAAAGGTAAACTTTCTAACCTCTGCGCCCCCTTCCCGGATTCTTGTTCAACTGCATTGCGGATCGGAGAATTGAACTTTCATTCTATTTTGAGATGTTACTAATACTTGAATTGGTAGAGTCTGTCCAAGGAACAGAGTGTTGGGACATTTAACTGGATCAGAGTAAACACATCTCACTATCTAAATCAACATCTGCTTCATGTTGAAGATGAATATTGGTTCTTGATTATCGGGGGATCAAGGGTTACGGGGAGAAAGCGGGAGAATGGGGTTGAGGAACTTATCAGCCATGATTGAATGGTGGAGCATGACTCGATGGGCCGAACGGCCTAATTTCTGCTCCTGTGTCTTATGAATGTTAGTTTGGATCCAAGCCAGGCAGTGAGATGAAACTCTACCTTTGCGGATAGAGTTTTATTAACTGCTCAGTCTAACAGTCCTTCTGCTCACTAGATACTCCAACCCCAATATCTGCCCAGTCAATTAACCCCAATCAGCTGTTTCACTATTTGGTATATTAATAGAATGTCCTCCTCTCTTTCAAATGAAAATTTTCGAATACAAACAGTCCTTAAACAAAACCCGATAAATTAACCTTTTTTTTTTCTCATGTTCTATATGTTACCTTATAACACAATCAATCAGTAACAAAATTATATATTTTTTCATATTCATTGTAATTAAATCAACCTCCTGTAATCTCTATTCTTTCTTTTCAGCAGCTAAGGTACTTTTAACTACCTTCTTTGTTTCTTTGGCATCCCAGGCCAGCACACAACATTTATTATTCATTCCCACCAAGAATACGACAAATGCTGCCATACTAAAATATCTGGAAGATGGGTATGGGAAGCATTATTAAAAAGGACTAGCTTAATATCTCTGTGTCATCTGTGGTTAGAAGCTTGAGTGCATTTTTATTCTTTATTGTTTTATTTGCTCTTGACATCATCAACAATAGTGTGTTTCATCATAGTACTCAGCTCCTATATATTATCACTGGCATCTGGTCTAGACTGAGTGTACAACCAGTTTAACTGCCCAGTCAAACTTCTAGTCTTGGTCTGTTTCTTCCTTGGTTGCAAGATCATCTTTCTGTGAGAACCTGGCCCAATTTATCAGGATACGATTATTAATTTCTAAGTAAGCCTTTTGATCCTAAGTCACTTTTGACGTATTCTGCTTAAAAGTCAAAACGTATATATTTAAAAGGCCTCCCAAAGATGACTTCCAACTTTTAAGCTTCCTTTCTAATTTATCTGTGACACATTATTCAAGTTCCATAGAACCTACAGAAAATCATTGACATGCGTTGTAGAGTTGCCTGCCAGTTTCTGTCTCTGGTACCAGCAGAGCATTGCATTCAGCTTAAAGCAGATCCAGCAATCTATTTTCAGCAATATGAACCAAACTAAGAAATACCATTCCCTCGCTCATTCAACCTACAAGCACAAATTAATTTCCATAGCTTCTCTCTTATATCATCTCATTCAGGTGGTTTCAAATTACTTCCTTTTTGAATTTTTCATTCTGCAAGAATACATCTTTTATATAAAATTGGGGTTGCTGAAAGATCTAAGAAGATCCTTCAAGATCACTTTTCTTGCAGTATCCAACCTAGCATTATGATCATCAAGTTTCTCTTTGAAACCCAGAGCCATTAGCTTGGCATCAGTGTTATAGCCCATCAAGGAGTGCTTTTTCTGTACATACTCATCTGCATGGTAAGCCTGGCAGTCCCTTGATTGATACCTCAGTGTATACACCAAATTCTTTACTGCTCCCTAGTTCTCCCTAGTTCTTTGTTTGGCATCCTTTTTCAATTTATTATTTTATATATCTGTATCTATTAAAACTTCTTGATCATAGGAATACCACAAATGGAATCCTCTATCTTGTTTCAGATCCCTTTTTCTTGTTGTACTATGACCTCAACTTGCTCTCCTAACTTCTTCTGGACTACAACCACAGGATTGATCAGAATTTCTTTCACAACTTTCTCTCAAATGTGTTCACTTCCAGGTCCACTGTCAAAACTTGTCTTCCTATTTCAAGCCTTCCAATCTTTACCTCAGTTTGACAATACGTAGTTCTTATCTCCTGTCCCTTATCTAGCACATTTAACCAATACTACATTTACCAGTGGTTTTCTCCCTTGTCCCTATAAGGATGACATTCCTTTATTCATTCCATATCCCCATCTGGCATATAAGCATCATTAGTCCGAAACTTCAGTTGTCATCCTCTGGGAAAAATAGTTTTGCTCTGCATCTCTGTCACTTTGTCCAGTTCTGTCAGCCCTCCTTCTGCTATAATCTGGTGGTTCATGTTTTCAACCATATGTGTATGTGAATTCATGACATGTGATGACTTGTTCAGATTCTGTAAGTGTGTCATCAGTACCAATTAACCTTGTCCAGATCAATTCATTCTTTCTGCCCTCCTTTTTGTAATATATGCACTATGTCCCTGGATCAAAATGTATTTTTGGTGGCTTTATATGATGTCGTAAGGCTCGCTGAATTTTCTCTGAAACCTCAACCTTAATGAATTTCTCCCAGAAAGCAATCTGTACTGTAGCCCCTAGATCCACCAAATATTTATGAAACATCTTGATCATTACCATGTGATTTTTTTCTCACATTCCATTACTAAAAATAATTTTTTTTCTGTTGTTGTCTTCATTGCCGCAATATTCATATTTGCGCACATGTCCCTAAATATTCCTCCACTGTCAGCCAGGAATTTAAATGGTGTCACAAGTCTAGTCCCTATCCGTTTCTCCATTACCTTACCATTGTCCACTGTTACATTCTTCTCTTTACTATATATTGTTGTAGACTAACTAAATCTAGTTGCTGTGTCTATGAAATTTAAGATGGGTTTTTTTTTCCTATACCTTAAAGCCTATTTGAATAACTTTGCTAAAGTCCCTTTCTAGTGAGAGACTCCGTGGGCTGTGAGGGTATCCTCCTTTGTTTTTTTACATTATCACATTTATCACAGATCTCTTCTAAGTTTTTGGAATACAATCATTCCTTATTCCTCTGATAAGATGAATGGACAAACTGCCAATGTAGTTTTAAAATAATTAGTCTTTTTTTTTGCCCTTTAAACTCCTACCTCCTGATGGCTATAGCACCACCTTAATATATGGGTTATAGATGTTTGGCCTTGTTATCTTTATGCTAATAAATAGTTTACCCCAGCTACATGACAGGGAATCACCACAGTTCTTTGTGGTTTCAGCATATTGTCATCCCCAGATCTGAAGGAGGTAGAACTCTCAAATTCCTTAATCTTGTTTTGTAATTAAAGAAAATGAAGCAGTTTTTTTTAACTAATCCACTGTTCACCATTCAATTGAATGATTGTGATCAAAACATTCGTTACCAAACTGAAACTACTTGTAATTAATGCAATTCCTTCTGCCATATGTGTATCAACATCATCTTCTAAACTTTCCATGTTATGCATAATTTTGAAAACTGTGGTTCCTCATTTGGGACAATTTGTTGTATAATTGTATTTCAAATCACAATTAAAGCACCCTGTTCACTATGCCCTCGGTATTTCTGGGGTTCATTCTTCTGTTATAGTTTCCCGCATCCTGCTTTACATTCTAATCACCAGAGTTTTGTCTGTTCTTTCTCCTTTTTGTTATGATTGACTCTGAGAATATTTTGCATTTGATCTTGCTTCTAATCAGAAGTAACAGTGGCCAAGGCCACATCTTGCTTTCTTAAAGATGTAACTTGGGTCCACGTGCCATCTTCATTTTTCTATTGATCATAAAGTTCAGTATCATAAAATATTGGTGTGAAGTCATATCACAACCTGTTGCACTTGGTTTCAGCCATTCATTTCCCAAGTAACTCCAATTACAATCTCCTTCTGAAAAAGAACGCTTAGGATGTTGTTTAAAGGCAAAGCTCAGCTACCAATATCAATTCGGCTACAAGCAAGTCAGCAAGAGAAAAGCCAAGACACCTTGCTTTGCGGATAGAGTTTAGTAATGACTCAGTCTTAGACCTCCTTTCACAAACCAGACCCACCAGTTTTTCCCTTTCCTACACTCAATTAATTAATTAATCACCAATCATCTTAGTTACTTGCTATTTGAACAAGAAACTAAATGCTATATGAGTTGTGTGTACATTAGGAAGTGGCAAATCAGTAGTTCTAATTAAGCAGACATAGACAAATTTCAGTGACTCTCAATATTGCCAATAATGTAATGAATGCCTTTTCTAAGTGCACCTAATTGTACTTGACTTTTTTTTAAAAAAGCCATTAGTATTGAAAGTAAACCTTACCATTAAAAATGGTTTTCTATATTAAACATGTTCCCAAGATGGAGTAAAATACTAAATATTACTGTAGTGGTGCACTAAACTAAGTGAACTTGCTGGAAAGTAAAATTGCTTGCATTTCATTTTTTTGCTTTGTGATGTAGCTCATCCTTTTCATATTTCTTTTTTTTTCTACAGACACAGACGTTGATTTAGGGTGTATCAACATTATCTATATATTGTTTTCTCTGCTGTGTAGTTGTAGCTTGCATTGCATTTCTGAAAATAAGTGTTGTAGCATGGAATGTATGAAGTTCAAGTGACTCCAGTCTATAAAGTGCTTGTTAAATGTTTCTTTGCCAGTGATTTTCTTCCTGCCTCTCAGTTGGTTAGTGACATCTATCGATGGTTTATTAATTCCAGTCAGCCCAATTTGTGGATACAGTTACACACTCACTTGTATGTTATGTTTTTAGAGAAGATCTTCTTTGTGTAAACTGATTATATATGTTAACATTTCAGGAGTGCTCCTGCATCTCCCAGTCATCCAGGCCTTCTCTCTCCTCACTCGAGTGGGCTGCAGACTCCTGAATGCTTGTCGCGTGAAGGTTCACCTATTTCGCATGACCATGATTTCACAAGCTCCAAGTTGGCATCGGTGCCAGAGGGTCGCTTCTCTCAAAGTGCACCAGGTAACCGTACCCTCTTACAAGGGAGGATTTTTTAATATAGATACCCTTGGTTTTGTGACCTAATGCGCTCACAACTATTTAATGTATGGCTTTATTTTGCATAAAATAGTTCACATAATGATTTTTGTTTTTGATTTTAAAAATAATCATTTATTTTAGAATTGCACTTGGATTAAGTCTTCACAATACTTCCCACTCTCTTTTGTTCAGGCTTTCTCCAATTGTTCAAGACATATGCATACTTTTTAGTCCTTACTGTGGGTAAAGTAGCAAGCCCATACGTAATGCTTTCCATAACAGCTTGAGAAAGATCAAGTTCTTAAACCATTTTCCTGCAACTCTACCATGTGTATATTGACGCAGTAATGCTTTGCACTATTTAAATATATTGATTGTTAACAAGGTATTCAAGTTGCAAGCATCTAATTCGGCCTGAAATTGTGACCAAGCAGTGAGGTGGAGTCAGTGGCAACAGAATGGAGTTTGTTGGGGCAGTGGATGACCTTAACTTCACTTTTTTGCAAAAGTGTGGATGGAGGAAATTGCACCTTACGTGGGATGTGTGTCAGAGAAGCATTCTGACAGTACTGAGGCAATGAAGAGGTTGCCAGAGATGGTGGTGAGGTGGAACTGGAATAGAACAAACTATATTATAAATTGATATTTTGATACTGGCTGTTATAGCCTAAGCCAGAGGGCTTTGCCTTATCTTAAAAGTGTTATTGTTAGTATGGATGTGGGAGAGGAGCAAGGATGCTTGGACTAAGGTTTCACACACCCATATTATTCTATTCTTTTAAACCGAAAATAAGGCTTCCTTGACACTGTCCCCATCAAACACTCCCAGGACAGGTACAGCATGGTGTTTGATTACTCTACGCTTGCAGTTTGAAGTTGAGTTTGATTTATTATGTTTGAAACCTATGGTTGAATTTGCCAATTATGGTGAGTGTTTTCTTTTCAGGGTCTCCAGTTAGTGGCCAGCCTGTTATAATGGCAGTTCCTCCCCAACCTCCTGGTGTTGTCACAAAATCTATGGCTTATATGCCCACCTCCCTAATAACTACCCAACAATCCACTGGGCATGCCATTCATGTGCTTCAGCAAGCTCCCACTGTAACTATGGTGAGGGTGCTAACAACATCAGCCAACACCTCGAATGGCTACATCCTTACCAATCAGAGCCATATCGGAAGTGGACAGGTCATACACGATGGTTCCCGTGACCAGAAAGGTAAATAATTACAGGTCTATTGATGTATGGCTTGTTTTTTAAAAAAAAAACGTTGTTTTAAAATCCTACATTGCTGTTCAAGTAACCTCACGCCAGTTCACATTTTTGGCATTTGTTTGTTTCTTTGCATTAAAAATTCTGTATTCACATATATGATGAAGACTACCATTTTAAACTTGTTAAACTATAAATACACTTTCTGCCAGGGATGACCATATTGTCTTGATTTTGCATTTCTCAGCTTTCTGTCTCTACTGTTCAGAAATACTAGATACCTTGGGCCTAAAATTGGGTGTAGTCTGTGTAAATAGAAAGGTTGTGGGTTGTGCTAAATTGATTTTTGGGGCTCATCCTCTTAATTACCATTGTTATCATTCTGTTACTGTAGGAGTCGCCCACCTATCTATTTCATATTACTGTGAAAGCCGAGGACTGCTTTTTGCTTCATTATCCACCAGTTGTCTTTAGCTGTGCCTTCCCACCAGTCTTGTATGACACCTTTGCCACCAAATCTTTGCTCCTCTATGGGTGCCTTATTCTGTTTCACCACCTGTTGCATTGCATTGCAGTCTAGTTCCCTGTCTGTTTTGGTCAGACTACTTTTGCATGCCCATTCTTATACTGAAGAATATTCTCTCTTTATTTCTTACCTCTACCTTTGTCTTTGTTCCATTTTGCAATATTCCTCCAACTCCTCAATACCAGCAAACTCAAATGACCCCGCTAACACTAATTTCTTTTGCTAATGTTGAACTTTTTTTCCAACTAATTTGGTGATGTCCTGTTTTGATTAATATTTCTATAGTATTTAAATATGTTGGTCCTCCTTGTTTGCCACTTCTCATTACCGTGAATTACATACTTATTTCGCACTCGGATAGAAACTTGCACTTCTTAAGGCTTGTGCATCCATGTGTGCAAGGTTAGAGTAGGAATGGAGGGAGTGATCAGTTCTGATCTTTGTCTCCAAGTAGTGGATCGGACTATTTTGTCCTGAGCTAGCTGCCATAACATGTGCCACATCGCCAGGGCTTGTCCAAAATTGGAATGGAAGGCGTGATCAGTTCTATCCTTCCAGTCTCCTGCCTGAACTGAGCTAGAGTAACCTATTGGAGTACAGTTCTTGGTATCTTGTTCATGATCAACTCCAGACAGGCTGAACCTGCCTTTTTTTTTGAGGCTCAGTAATTGGCCTGTGCTCGGTAAGCTGGACCAGCCTTCCCCAGTCTTTTGATCACCTGACATCGCTAATTCACCGTTCTCCGAGCCTCACATAACTAAAAGAAAGAGTAATCTCATCTGCCAATAAAGTGGTTAGTACTGATGCCTCACAGTCTTGTGGAGTTTGCACGTTCTCCCTGTGTCTGTGGGTTTCTGCTGGGTGCTTTGGTTTCTTCCCACAGCCCAAAGATGTGTAGGCTAGGTGGATTAGCCATAGGAAATGTAGGGTTATAGGGATATAGTAGGGGAGTTGGTCTTGGTGGGATGCTATTTGGATGGTCACTGCAGACTCATTGGGCCAAATGGCCTCTATCTGCACTACAGGGATTTTATGATTCCAAGCAACAAGCCTGACCAGTTACAAATTTAGCAAAACTTTTAATATTTAATTTTATTTAGAGAAACATCTTGCAGGTTTTCATCCATTCACTTCCTTTAACAATTGCACAGTTGCACCACATCAATCACATTACAAGTTTAGAATCATGATAGATAGACCTTAGAAATTAAAGATCCTAGATGTTGATGACTGCAAGCAAACTTCATGCCAGGTCTTAAAAGTTAATAGGATTGATTGGACTCCGTGTTACAGATTCCACGTGTTCTGTCTCTTCCCCCTTCTTCGTATACTTGCCTCATTTATTTTTTATGCATGGACACCACTTCCTTCCCCCTTTCACCAGGTGTCATACCATATGGGAGCAATGGGAAAACAGGGGAATCACTTCAAAGCTTCTCCGTTTATATATTATCTGGCCCTTTCAGGATCCAGTTAGATTTGGCAAGGATCTTCCAACTCTCAGCCCTCGCACTTTCTGGAAAACCTCTTGCACTAGTGAAGATTTTCCTTTTCCTTGCTTTGTCAACTTAGCAGACAGAAGAGAACAAGAAGACAAAACAGCACCACAGGCTAAGAACATGAGAATGAGAATTCAGGGTGAACTTGCATGTTCATATTCCTGTGCCATAGGTAATTCCAGCAGATGGTGATCTGTATTCTATTTCCACGTCCCAATTTTTATGTTGGAGGGTGTGATACATTTTATGAACTTGGTCTAACCTTCTTCACACCTCCGTCTCTAGCAAGGGAGGTATGGTGAAGGAGTTTTGGTTAATCTGTTCCAGATGGTCCCTCAAATTATCAGTGGCTTTTAAGACCACGACTACCCTTAAGGGAAGAATTGCAGTTAAACAGTTGTACCATTGTTTAGGAAGCATTGTGTCCCAACATGCCTGACTGATGTCTGCAAGGTGTTCACACAATGTCTCCCATTGCTTAGAAATGCCACCCAAGCCATTTCATGATCACTGATACTACCTCCATAGTGTAGTTAACAGTGGCTTTAAATCCACAAGTCTTTCTTGGTGGTGCAGTTAGGATTTGAGCATACTATAGCCAATTCCTCCTTGATACGTCCCTCCAAGTATATTTCCAGTATTAACCTTTCCAGATTGGATCGAATAATGTTGGACATGGTGATACATAACATGATGTTTTTCCCTTATCACTCCAGTGTTCTCTACCTGATATACTTCCTTAGGAGTGATTTAAAGTAATAACAGGCATTGTGCTGTTATTCCCTATAATGTTCCACCCTTTGCAAAACAGTCAATACTGGTAGAATAAACGTGTTAATTCCCCAAGTTGGCAACTGATTGCTTGGTTTTGGGGTTAAGTTCTTAACCTGCTTGTTACTGATCCAGAGGGTACCTCTCTTTGAACTTGTTTCTGGTTTGCTCTGGTTGTTTGTCAACTCGACTACCAAGGTTTTTAGCTTCTCTATTTCCAGACTCATTTACTTCCCTGAATAATATACTGATTGTTTTTTTTGCATGGTTGTCCATGGTTGGCACCACCATTTTAATGAATCTGGTTGATTCATGGGCATTTTGGTACCTCTGCATCTGAAACTTTGGTCTGTTCTTTCGGATTTGCTTCAGCTGAATACTGAGTGTCCTGATTTTATGCCGGGCTAACTGGGCTAAATCTTAAGATATTTGCTACTATCCCATAACTAAATCCTGCCATGATATCTTTAATCACCATATTTTAATCCTTTGAAAACTTCCTCAAGACCCTTGTCTCAGCCAGGTCATTGGTTTCTGAGCCCAGTGTTCCTCTGGACCTCTGGCCTGGGATCCCTGTGCCTAAACTTCCTGTTCAGCCACCCATTTCACCAATTTTTCAAATAACGTTCGAATCAAACCGGAGCACTTTGAAAGTAATACCAAACCTGAAATGTTTAGGACCATGGGTACCAACTCAACATGTACGTTATGATACAAAATCTTACTTTTTTCATCAAGCATTTGTCCATTTGCTGTCTTAGGACTTAATACTGAGCAAGGAGAATCTGTTGGCATTAGTTGTGAGGTTTTGCTGGCACACGCTGGCAGTGTTTGTGCAGTTATTGTGGGAGATTCAGTCAGGGCCATTAGGACTCTTCATTGGAATACATTTCCTATGTGCATCTATTACAGACCTGTAGACCACAAACACTTCATCCCATGTTCTTTAGAGGAGAACGAGTGAACTGGGTAAAATCTTGCACATAATGTGTATTGGCCTTTGGTTGAGCAGCAACATCCTCCTATTTCTTGCTTTTAATGAATATACTAATTAGTTTTGGGGACTTTAGGTACGTTTCATCTTCTGAACTGGATCCATACCGTTATCATCATTCTCTGTTACAAGCAGACCTATACTGCAGTACAAAGCTACTTGCTTCCCTACAGTCATATTCAACATTGCGTGCTTCGTGTTGCATTCAGCACCACTTATGGTGTACCATAGTCCCTGTCTGCCTTGGATGTTGGATGAAGGTCATAGTTCCCTCAACAGTGGAAGGGATGACTCTCAATCTCAGGAATATCAACATTGTATGTAACATTCCGTAAGACACAATATTTGCAATTTGCTAAGGCTCTTTACCAAAGACCTTGCAAGGGGTGTTAGTTATTAACTTTGTTAGGATACTATACTAGCATGCTGGTTTTCTTTGATTGCACTTTATTGCTCACCAATGTGTGGCTGGGTTGGTGTATAATTGGGTATAGGTCCTCCTTCATCCTCCTATGTGGGATCTGTGATCCTTGTCCCCCACTAATGGGCTTATTGAGGAATCCAGTTCCCCTTTTGATGGTGTGCAGCCAGCTGCCTTTGGCTAATCAGGGGTTAGTGCAGGCTCTTTCCTCATTTGGTTAATGTGGAACTGCTCAACACAGTTGAACAATGGCTTTGTGCACAGTGCTATCTGGACACTTATGCCCACTCTTACATAGTTTCTTACAACGCCCTGGTCCTCAGTGCTCCATTCCTGGGATTTATCTTGCATATTGGAGACAATGGTGTAGTGGTGATGCACTGCACTTGTAATCCAGAACCTCAGGCTAATGCTTCGGGGATGTAGATTCAAATCCTGTCCTGGCAGATGATGACATTGAATTTGATAAAAATCTGGATTTTAAAGTTTGATTACGTAGTGACCATGTAATGTACTGGAATGTAGTAGTGGCAAGGGACAGTTTCATTAGGAGGAATAGGTACTGTTCACTGCAGTTGTAAGCACCAAGGCTGTGGTGTCAGGGTAATGGACATCTCCTCAGAGCTGGAGAGGAACTTTGAATGGGTGGGAACAAATCCAATTGTTGTCCATGTTGGTGCCAATGACATTTGATTGCACTAGAAAAAAGATTCAGCTAAAAGATTTTGAACAACTACCAGCTAAACTAAAATGTAGAACCTCTGAGGTAATAATCTCAGGATTACTACCTATGCTATATGCAAACTGGCATAGAACAAATGGAGTCTAGATGTTAAATTTTTGGCTCAAAGATTGTTATGGGAGAAATAGGTTTTAGTTAGTGGGTCACTAGCACCAGTACTAGGGTAGAAGGCAGCTGTTCTGGGGGTATGGGATTCACTTGAACTGTGCAGAGACCAGTGCCTTGCTGAATCAAATAACTAGAGGGCTTGAAATGAAATAGAGTGACGGAGGGTTCAGGAAAGGCTTACAAATTGAAAGGATATGGCAACATTTCAGGGCAATTATTTAGATGATGCTACCCAGAATGGGACAGGCAAGAGCAGAGTGTATAAGCAAATGTAAACAGCAGCAAACTCAGAAATTGCTGGGAAAACTCAGCAGGGCTGGCAGCAGCTGTAGAGAGAAAGCAAAGTTAACATTTCGGATCCAGTGACCCTTCAGAACAGGTTTCGTTTCTTGTAAACAGCTGCATAAAGGGTCATTGGGGTAGAATTGGTAAAAGAAAGGTCAAATGAAAAGGCTCTATACTTAACTGTGCATTAGGATCAAAGTCCTCAAAGATGGCTTGCATGTATGTTACTGCGTGGCAGATAGTACCTCAATTTGGGGGACTGGATATGCTCCCTCTCTTGTTTAGACTTCATTGGGAGAGTGGCGAATAAGTTGCTGAAGAAGGAGGACCTTCTTCCCATCAAGTTTGTGCAAGGTTACTGGGTGATTGACCTCAAGAAAGTGTCTGTGGATCCTTCCTGAAGGCTAACGTGGGATGCTGTCTGCCATGCCTTTTCAGATGGTCGTTGTTGAATAGTACCAGTTCTATTCACCTGCATGTGGTGCTCCATTCAAGTCATTGGGAATGTGCAGTTCCAGGTGAACCAGTGATTGTCTGTTTGGTGCTTGCTTTTGTGTTCTTGCCTTCTCCCCTGACTCACTATCACAGTCATCCACAACTCTCCTTGCACATAATATACCCTTCAATCACTTCAATGCTTCCTTCAGTTGACTTATCTTGCCTTGACAAAGGCTACGATTACCCTCCTTGTTCTAAGTATGCTGTTTGTTTCCTTAACTATGCATCAATATGCCAAATTTCATAGAATTCCTACAGTGCAGATAGAGGTTATTCAGCCCATCGAGTTTGCACCAGCCCTCCAATTATGCCATCCTGTCCCATAACCCCACATTTACTATAGTTAATGCACATAACCTGCACATCTTTGGACTGCGGGAAGAAACCGGAGCACCCAGAGGGGAACCATGCAGACACGGGGAGAATGTGCAAACTTCACACAGATAGTCGCCTGAGGCTGGAATTGAACTTGGGTCCCTGTTGCTGTGAGGCAGCAGTGCTAACCACCGTGCCACTGTGCTGTTTTGTTTAGGCCACCCTATTGCCTTTCAGCTCCTTCCTCCGTAGAGTTGAGCGCATTCTTCCTCAGCTCTAGTGTCGCACTGGTTCTGATTATTCACACATTAACTCTCAATTAATTATACATAATTTATATAATTTTTCTTTTTCAACCCATATTTCTCCAAGTCCTTTTTGTGACCTTGGCATTCCTCCTCAGATTCCTCTGTAACCTATCCACCACTGCTTTCATCTTTCCTAATTTCTGTTTTAACATTTGTATCTCCTCTTGTGCATTCTTTTCATTTTGTTTATAAACCAACAGCCAGTTGCCTCTCTCTGTGGCCAGCATTCAAACAGACCCTCGAGTCCACACATCTCCCTCCTGTACCCCGTCTGTACATTAGAGGATATTTGCACCATTGCTCCTAAAAATGCATCTTTTACTTATGTAACCCTGTGCTAACACATTCCTGATTAGTCTGCTTATATTTTTGCCTCTACCTCCTGCCTAGTCCACTAATTTTTTCAACAATAACTTGCTTTGTAAGTTATATCCCCTTTTTGGTTCAGAGGTTTGCTCCGAGTATTCACAACTCGAGACTCCCAAACTATTGTTTGTGCATAACACATTTATTTGGTACTCAAAAAGAAATTTGTACTCAATTAGACTTGTACTCGTGTCCATGTGTGCAAGGTGCCTAGTCTTGGCCTACATTTGGAATGGAGGAAGTGGTCAGTTCTTTCCGTTTGGCATCCTAGTAGTTGATCAGACTACTTCGTCCTGAGCTGAGCTAGCATAACCCGTCAGGGCGCAGTTCCTTATACCCAGTTCAGTGGCTGATGTCCACATGATTGGCTCCGATATATTAAAGCTGACTTTGAGGCTTAGCAATTGGCCAAAGGTCACATAGCCTGAACCTGCCTTCAAGTTTTTTGATCCATCTTGTTTAGCTAATTCTCTGTTTTCCAGACCCCTCAGAACTGGCGAAACAATAAACTCCTCTCCAACTTCCTTGTTTCCAAGCAATTAGTCCATACAACGTGTTTCTTAAAATTTAACAATAGATTTAACTGTATCAATTTAATATTTAACCTGCGAAATGCTGGTCTAGACATGATTATCGTTTATTCAGTTCCTTTAACAATTACACAGTCATACGACCGGTATCATGTTACAGGCTTGTATTCAAGGTAGCTAGATCTTAGGAATCAAAGATCACTTAAACATCAATGACTGCAATAAAACTTTATCCCAGTCCTTGAAAATTAATATGATCAGTTGAACATCATGGGACAGATTCAGTATGTTCACTGTCCTCCATCTTTCTCCTCTTCTCTCTCCACCCAACACCCCCACCCCGGCCACCTCAGTTACTTGTTTTTTATGTACGTGTCTTGTTTCGCCAGGTACCATTACTGAGGCAATGGGAAAGTTTGCTTTCAGCTGCCCACCATTACCCTTTCCCCATAATGCTAACTATTCAGACCAAAATTAGTTGATTCCCTATCAAAATTCTCATTGTAAAGTTGGAATAATAAATAAACTCCACCTCTTATGAAGAAAAATGTATAATCTTTATATGTAATATATAGTAATATTGATGTATCCTAATTTTCATTTCCATAATAGTATCATTTGAATGTAAGTTATGATATCAATTTTATATGTATATAGGAATATCATTTTTGAAGTTTGGATAAAAATGTAGCATTTGGGTGTCACTTTTGTTAAGGGTTTTGTTTTATAAAGAGAAACCAGATCAGAGTGTCCTTTTGGAGTAGTGATTTAATCCAGGATGTCAAAGAGCAGGTGATTGCAAACCCCTGTGATGTTAACGGAAGGATGTTTACTCTGTGTTTATGACAGGCAGGATAGATACGCAAGGCCCGTTAGCTTTGTTTTCAGTTCAGAATTAAGTTATGCATTTTGGTTCAGAAAGCACTAGAGTTGAGGGTAGAAGCAAGTTTAATTTCTCTCTAGAAGAAGGATTCAGAGCCATTCAGGCTACAAGTTAGCTCAGCAGAAGGTCTTGTTTGTGAAACTTACAAAACTAGGAGACTTTGGTTAGAAATGTGCAAGTTATAGAAACTCGGAAAGTTTAGGCTATCAGATATGTGGAAAAGTTCATTTCAGCAGGTTTGGAAAGCACTCATCAAATTGTTTCCACAGCCAAGGTCAAAAAACTGTCAGAAGTTAGTAAAGGAGGATTCATTAACAGTCATGGTATAGATTGTAATTTCTCTGAACTTGAGACTCTAATGGATAGTGGCGGGAAACAAGTTGAAGCTTATTTTGCTGTGGATTAGATCTTTCTAATTGTAATTGATATTTAAATAGTTTGTTTTTATTTTTATTTGTTCTTTTGTGTTATAAGCTTTGGTTCTATTATTAAAGGAAGTCTGCAACTTCTGTGAATGTGTTTTGGTACTTAACCCCAATGTTGATTAACTAAACATAAATAAATAAATGTACAATTAGTTGAGTCATGTTTCATTCTGGGATATGATTTGTCCCATATTAATATTGGCTAAGATCATAATACTCCTCATTACTTAATATTCAGTACACAAACTATTATCACAAAAGCAGTGTCTCAAACAAACATGTTCTGATTTTTAAATATTCACTATTATAAAATACAAACTCACCAGCAACACAGCAGATTTATCGTTATATGCTTAATTTTGCAGGTTGCATTTAGTATCCTTGATTTGTTGTGATCAGTATGATGATAGTCACACAACATGTATTGGAACAGGGGAATGATTTTTTTAAAAATTGTGTCTGCAGGAGTCCTTGATGATAAGTCTCTTGTGACCTTTACAAATGTACCTACTGGCAGTCGAGTGATTCAAACAGTTAGCAGTCAAATGTCTCAACATGTACCTGGACAGATGGTTACTATCCTGCAGCAGGCACCAGCAACATCCATGGGGCAACATCAGCTTCCAGTGAAGACAATAACTCAGAATGGCAAACATGCTGTTCCTGTGACAAGCCTTCAAGGAAATACTTATGGTAGGTAATTTTAGTAACCTGTGTTTACAAGAAATATAGGTTATAATGTGAAGCCTTGATTAGCAACGTGGAATGGGTATGCAGCAGTTCCTTCACTGGACTGGTGATACAAAGGCTTATTTGGAGAAAAACTGCACTGAAGTTGAGAAATTCAAATTTGATTAAATAAATTAGGAATTTTTAAAAAAAAATCAATAATGCTGATTGTGTAAGTACCTCCCTTGTAGTAGCAGAGCTGCTATCCTTACCCAGCCGCCTACCTTGCAGACAACTCCAGAGCCAGAGTAATTTGGTTGACTCTTAGCTACCTTTTGATATGGCCTAGCAAACCACTGAAGTTACATACTGATGATTGGTAATTGCTAGCCTTCTCACGCCCTACAGTGATGCCCAGATCCTAGAAATGAATAAAAGAAAAATTGATATTGGGCAATGTGGTTACTTCCAAATAAGCTTTATATATTCGTAATCTGCTGTACTGTGCTGTTTTGTTGGCTAAGCAACTGAAGTTGGTAAGAATTCTTTAGTTTTATTACTGATTATTACCTTGATGATGAGCTATAACCAAAATTGTTTCCCAAGCCCAGGGATAGCAGCTGAGTGAAGTGTGACCTTCCAATTGCTTAATCTCCATTGAGATCAGCTGTGTCAGTGCATCATGGATTTTGTGTTAAACTGGCCTATAATATTTTCACGAGCTTCATTTAACTCCCCTGTATTGAAATTTGGTTCATAATTATATTTTATGCAGTAAATTGGAATATCTTCCCATTGTGTTTTTTTTAAAAGCCGGAGAAAGTGTCTTTGCGCTACCTATAATTATTAAAATAACCACAAAATGTGTTTTGTTAGAAACTTGCAACAACAAATTGCTCTTGTGCAGAATTTCAAAGTGCGTTGTGTTGGCTTAACACACAACTCGACTGAATTGTTTGGTTACTTTTTAAATGTAAGTGTAATTCAGCCAAGAGAGTTTTCTGACTGGGATTTGAATTTGTCTGCCTTCATTGGTGGACTTCTCAGACAGGAGTAAAACACTTCTTCAGTGGAACACTCCACGTGGAAGGAAAAGAAGTCTGGACTAATCATTGCCCAATAGGCACAACTCCCACCAGCTGATCACAGGGCATTATTGACAATGGTGAAGATTAACAATTAGACCTGGCCACCAGCAGTCTGAACCAGGAATTGTACTGCATTTTTGGAGGAAAATATTTGGAGCAAGATAGGAAATTTGTACTTGTCAGTTTGATGTCAAGGTGGAGGTTTTGATAAAACATGTACAATGTGTATTTTATTTAATTTTAGTTTTCTTCACCTCCTCAGCTATAACTAATCCACTACAGATCCTGGCTGCGCAGGCTACATCTTCCTCCCCTGTAGTTATGAGCAAGCACCTTGTCACAGAACCACAACATCCAGCTGTGTCCCTAGGTGAGCCTGAGGCCAAACGGCCCAAGATGGAGGAGTCAACTGGATCAGGCTCGGGTCTTGCCGTGATCACATCAACTCCACAAATGCAGGGTGCCAGTGAATAAGGAAAACCGGAATCGAGGAAACCAATTACAGTGGTGAAGATATACTCAAGTATGTTCCACAGAAAAAAAAAAACAGAATTCCAAGGTGCCAAACTGATTGGAGAAAGGAAATGAAAAAAAGCAAGCCTACCTTGAACTGAAGCGCTCGTTTTTAATGAGGAAACGAGACCAGCTGATTGTAGGATTAAGGATGGCTGAGGTGGAGAATGCAGCCATCTGCATAATTCAGGCTTTGGTCTTTTATAAGCCTTAATTTAAAAAATGTTATAAAGGATTGGTGGGAGGGAAGCAGATGAAATGACTTGAGTTCCTCTTGACACAATGGGGTCTTGCCAAGACCCCAATCTTGGTGATGTGGCGATAGTACTCAGTAAATGTGCTAACTTATGTTCTTAATTACTACAAACCATATCGGTACTGCTGACTTGCCAATTCTTGTGCACGTAGCCTTTTCAGGAGAACAGAGAATTTACTAGTTTTGATGTCTAACAATATTGCCCAGATTACATTGGAGACATTTCATTTCATCGCCCAGTATCACAAAATTAAGCCAATTTTCTCTTTGTATATTGCACTTCGCTAAACTGCACCCCCACAATGTGGCTCATTTGGGGAAAACCACGAGGGACTCATTATAACCAGATAAGTTGTTTGGGTGAGAATATGGAAATATGGTAGCTCCTAAATGAATGAAATTTATTTTTAAAATGGAATTAATTAAAGCAAGACAGGACAGTTTATTAATACTGTTAAAGTCAGCCTCTTTTGGAGGGGGTGGGGGGAAAGGAGGAAGAGAATAAATGATGCCTGTGCCTTGTGCTTAATGTCAATACCTGAGATATAACCAGATTGGCTCCTGTGCTAAAATTAGTTTTCTTAACAGTGCCTGCTTGACCAAACTTTAAAAATATTGCCTCACTGAGTTACCTCATCCAACTTGACAGTGGTGTTTTAAGTTTTTGTTTTCAAACTGTGCAGTCATGAGGTAACGATAGTTTACCCCCAGTTGACTAGCTGAGAAATATTTTAACAGTCGATGTGACATAGTGGAGCTTTGAGCATTTCTGTAACTTGAATCGTTGAGAACAGGCCTTTCTTTAACATGAATGCTTCAATGGATAAAACAAAGAGCATTTCATGTGCTGACTATGGCAAAATATCAAAGAGTAATTTTTTTTTAAAAATGCACTTGCAAATTGTACAAATACAGCTACACTACTTTTGTCATTGAATTCATTCAGAATTTCAATCTGCAATCAGATCTGATCATGCGTACATAATCCACATATTTTAATGGAATTGGACTTCCATTTTAGAAATGAGAGTTACATGTTCCTATTCTGAACCAATGTTTATGTATGCAAGTAGCTTAAGAAATTGGTACAACAAATTGTGATCAACTGGGTCTGATTCACTGTGCTCTGTTTTGTTTTTGACATGCTAGGGAGACAGCAGTAATATTGTGCAGCATTTTAAGAACCATTAACTGAATTCTGTAATTCTCACAAGCTCATTTATTAGCTTATGTTTGCAGATTTTGTATTCCACTAACTTTTTGTGTTTATACTTGCTTCTCAAAGTTACATTTCAGCAAAAAACATTTCCTTTAAATCTCCTTTATACAAATGTAATTGTATCACAGCCAATATAGGTTTGATCTATTTTGTGGTTCGTTCCTGACACAGTTCAGTTCGTGTTGGTATCGGTAATGTTGGCTGGAAAAGTATACCGATCATGAAAAAGGAATGTCGGAGAGCTCCATTAAGACTGGCTCAAGACTGTTCTATTAGTAAATTTTCTGGCAAACTGGAGTTGTATTGAGAGTAGTAATGAATTGCTCTCTACGAGACTATGCACCTCCCTGATACTGCAGATGTTAAAATATGAAGCTCTGTTGTGTGGAAGTTGAGTTTCTAAAGATTAGTCATTGTAGCAAGTCCTTTGTTAATTTTGGGATAACATGCAGTTTCCATCTGCACTGTTGACAAAGGAAATGTAAACATATTAACAAAGTATAACTAGTGAACCAGTAAACTAAAATGATAGCCTGAATTGGATGTGATGCTTGTATAACTACAATGTTTTAAAACAGTAGTGTTGGCTGGGTCAGTTTTCAGAAAAATGATGATCAAGGCGGTTCAGATGTGGAGGTGCGCTTGTTTCACAAAGCTTTTTGATAGATGCAGTGGAAACCTGTTAAATGTGTCTCTGTACAGAATAATATGAAATTTCAGAAATACATCTTCTAAAATTGTGAGCCACATTAAAATGTTATATTTATTTATGCATTGTTTTAACAGCTTTCCACTGTAAATAACTAATAATTTTTTTAATATCAATGAGACTTCTGCAAGAATTTCTCTTCTTTAATCTAAATATCATAGATCCTGAAGAATGGCAACAGTCAGGAATGGGAAAAGAGTATTGAAGCTCATTCTTTATAACCTAGATTCTCTCATCATAGCATCCAGTTGCATTTTGAGCAACCTCAATGCCTTTATTACTTTGTCTGACAGATTATTTCAAGCATTTATTATAAAAGTTTTTATCCCTGGTATTTGCTTTAAATGTATTTACTAGTAATATTTGTCTCTTTTGACCTTCGTTTTGGATAACTTAAAATTTCAGAGCAGTAAACTGAAAGTATTTGATTTGGTGAGGATGGGGAGTTAGTGGTCAATATTCAGTGAGGTTTCATTATATTTAAACTCCCTCAAAGTGAGATTTGAAATGCAAAAGCAATTAGGGTAATGGGTTAATTAGGTTCTTCTACTTTTTTTAAAAAAGGTATAATGTAAAATCATAGCACCGGAGAATAAATTTTAAACATTGTAAAACAATTATTGTTATTGACTAGTTACTCAAAGAAATATGCATATCGTTTAGATTATAAACTACAAATTACTTTGGTGGGGGGGAGCGTGGAGAGAGAAACGGTGCTGCATACTTAAACTGGGACAGATAAGAAGTAATTGTGAGGGGTCCCCACTTCCCCACCCCAAGTCTTCATTTCTTGCTTATTCACCAGAGCGTCTGACAGATCTACACTTGAAGGCCATCAAAAAAAAACTCTGAACTTAATATTGATGGTCCTTGTACCTTCCTCCTTGTCATTCAGCATTGCATACACCATGCACTGTATTCCAATTGATGACAAAATTGCATGCAATTCAATTGGAATTTTTCATGCTTGAAATTAAATTTGCTACTGCTGTGAAAATATATAGATAGAAGGCGAATTGCAGCTCGATTTTGAACAATGCAAGTCTGATGTAAGTCTGTCAACGCAACTTGTCTGATGAGGGCAATGATAATCTAGTCTGACATGAAATAGATTTGTTTTCTTCTGACAATGCAGTACATTCACAATGTACACAAAGCCACATTTCTCCATTATGAAATGAAATCAGTTTCAAATGTTTAAATTTGTAATAATCAGCAATTTATAAGCTGTAGTGCATCCAATCCCTGTTGTTAGCAATACTTTCCAACTCTGACTGTATTGCTGTCTAACATTTTTGAGCACATCCATCCCACATCTTGTAAAGAAATTTCTGAAAGGCATGTTTTTATTACCTGAATAGAATGTGCTGCAGGTGCAAATACACAGCACATTTTATATATTTATTAATTGTCAACCAACAAAGTATAATTCACACAGTGCAAAATATTTGCAATGTCTGTTTCCAATCAGTCTAGCCTTTAATACCCAAAAATAAGCATGTGAAGGTGATGCACTATTATTTGAAGATTTTTAACAATGTCATTATAGAGCTTACTCCAAAATCCATTTATAATACAGATCCTAGCATCTCCAAACATGGGTTTAGGAAAAGAAAACGGTTTCAAAAACTCTAATTTAAAAAAAATTGTATTCTTATGTATAATTCGGATTTAAAAGTATAAATCCAGTATTAGAACTTCTTTGCATTGAGGGTTATCTTGAATGGAGTGGAATAATTTGGAAACACCACATGGGGCTAGATTTTTATTGATCTGTAAGCAGCTGCACAAGTTTAATTTTACATGTGGGATGAAGCCTGATTCCATTTTCTTAAAAATGTAGTATGAGAGATATTGGTCTAATGTAGTGTCTGTCTCATTAAGGCCAATATTGTACTAAAGATAAATATGATTTATTTTTTAGTATTAGCTAATCTTTTGGATCAGTCTGGGCATAAGTTAATATCTTCATGGGTCCGTCAGTTCTCTTTTCTATCAAAACCTTTAGATAAGTCAGTTATATTTATCAGTGACTCTTAAATTCAAATTCCAACTCATTATTTTTGTTAACTGGGAAATTTGATTTATGACTAGGAGACAGGATGCTGGAAACCAGAGTCTGTAAGTGTGGAGCTGGACAAACACAGCAGGTCAGACAGCACTAGAGGAGCAGGAAAGTCAACGTTTCAGGGCAAAACGTTGACTTTCCTGTTTCTCTGATGCTGTTTGACCTGCTGTGTTAGTCCAGCTCCATGTTTATTGAATTTGATTTAAGCATCTTTTGTGTAATTTTTTTTGTTTAATATGACATTTCCTAACTGAAATTTGAAAGATTTGGGCTGAGATTCTGTTCTAACAGAGTGCTCCATATCTGCCGGGTTCTGGCCATAGGACAGTAGGCAAAGCCCCCACCAGCCCTTTATTAGTCAACTGACTATTGTTTGTTTCTGTTTCTTAGTTATCTTCCAGAACTCAACATGTGGCAGGTGGAAGGAAATCTGATCTCACCAAATTACTGCTAACAAATTGTGAAGGTGGGAATTGAGGCCTCATCCACCAAAAGATGACCCAGATTGTGGGGAATGTAGTGTTTTTTTTTCTCCCACAATATGTTGCAAGCTATGCAGTTTATTCTTCTTTACTTTTACTCCATGCCATCTTCGTCCCACCATATTGCCAATAAACAAATCCGTCAGCTAGTATTTCTGGTAACTTTGGTCGGGTTAGAGTAATATTATATACACAGGAGCAGAGATTGTGAGCAAACACGTTACCTCATTTCTGCTACCAGTGGCCGTTGTATAATTCCATAAAAATAGAACTGAAATCTATTTATCTCCATTTGATTTCATTTTAAAATCCAGCTCAAGCTCTTAGACTTTTCAGCATTGAGAAATTTTCCCAAATATTGTTCAATTGAATTAAGTATCTTCCACTCATAGAATCCCTAAGTGCATAAAGAGGCCAATTGGCCCATCAAGTCTGGACCAAGCACCCCACCCAGATAGCCCCTACCCTATCCCCATAATTACCACGGCTAATCCACCTAACCTGCACATCTTTGGACTGTGGGTGGAAACCAGAGCACCCAGAGGAAAGCCATGCATACACAGGGATATCATGCAAACTCACATAGAAAATTGCCAAAGGCTGGAATTGAACCTTGGTCCCTCTTGCTGTGAGAGAGCAGTGCTAACCACTAATGCCATCCAAGTACGAAACTGACAATTTGACTTTTGACGGAAATTATCTTGCAGTAGTAAATTCCACATTCCAGAAGGTTTTGAATGTGTATTAGAGACATTACAAATGCAACCTTTTCTTAAAATTTTAAAACCATTCACTTTTACAACCAAACATGTAGCTCTTGTTGTATTAGCATTGTGGTTAAATAATTTCAGTAAGGATAAGAATTTAATGTAGATAATATTGAAAAATAACAGTTTAGAACCATGCAAATTAATTTTGTCCTGTGTCAAAATGGTTTAAAAAAAGTCTGCTGTTTGTTGGTAGTCTTCTGCACTTTTTGTGTTGATCATTGCAAGTGCATTCTCAATACTGCACTTCCAGGTGTTAGTATGCCTTTTCTTCAGTTTATAACATGACCGAGTAGATAAGTGAAAGGAAGCTAATTTGCAAACAAGTACTTTCACTAGGCTGTGATACTTTGTATTTCGTAGCTTCGTGCTTTGCTAGCCATGTATTGCCAGCAGTCTCTGTTAGTAGAAGGAATAGTGCTGCTACTTTTGTGGTGGACAATTATAACACCATGACACAGATTATCTCAGGTATATCTCATGTATAGTGAGGAAAACAAAATGGAGCAATGAGCTTGAGCATAAATTATCCAAATCTGCCTTTTTATTTTAAAGTGTTGAACTTCTTAAATTAATGGCAACAAACTAGATGCTGCTATGAGAAAGTTATAATGTGGACTATCTGCAAACTTCTGTAAAAGGGCAGAGAGGCACAGCTGCATTCTTCTTATCTGGTCATCTAGGTAGACTTAACCAGCAGAAATAGATCAGTAGTTAACAGCACATTTCAGAAATTGGAAATAAGGAAATGATGGGACAATGTTTGATCCAATTGTTTTGCATGTTACAATTAGTTAGCTTTGGATTTTGTAGAAAAATAATTCAGAAAAAAACAGCAACTTCTGGAATGACAACATAACTTCATTAGTTTCTGAAAATAAACACATTATTTTTTTGTAATGCAGGCTGCTCAAGTTTGATAAATTTAATTCTCCATTCTAAGAAAACGCTGATCACCCGAATAAATTAGCTTAGTAGCAGGGTATATGTTAGAATGAATGTGTAAGTTAAAATGTTCTTATTTTGAATGTAACTGTTGGATAGGAGACTTGGTATAAATCTAACTAAGGATAATGTCTAGTTGAGCAGTGCAGTGACCATTTTATCTATTTAGAAAACCATATAAATACTACAATTGGCAAATTAATTCTGTCAGGTTTTTCCTCAGTGAAGACTACACTGCCTCACCCTGTGTTATTCAATTCATTATAAATGTGTGACAGTTTAAGGAGAAATAAAATCAGACTCTTATGTTTTTCTACGTTTGCAGTTTTATTTTTAAACCAATACATTGTTTTTAAAGTTTAGTAGGAACTCATTAAAATTAAAGTTGCAATTTTAAAACAATGTAACTTTTTTGATGCATATTGTTTAATTGTACAGATTTTTAGGGAAGTTAGTGCCTAATTATAGCACAGGAGTTGTTATCTTTTAAAATGCTAGTTAGTATAGAGATTGCTATCCAAAGGGGTCCAGAAGCAACCTCCACCAAACTGTTCAAAATTACTTGCTGGCCACAAAAACTATTTTGTGGCTTCTTAACTGTAGGTTTTATAATATGCCAAATTATATAATCTGCTTTGCTCACTGTGTGGGACCCCATTGAGCATGTAATATCTCATAATATGTGAAATTATAGATAAACCTTTCTTCAAATAATCTTTTTCATTGTATTTTTCTAACAAAAGCACAATGTTTGAATTTCAGTTTTGAAAGAAAACAAAATGTAATAGTAAATAAATAATTTCATGATTTCTTTGTTTAGTTTATTCATGGGTGTGTAAAATGGACAAGTGTCAGATTTGTTTCCAAGTTTTGACTTCAGCAGTGACTTACACCTCCAACGTTAACAGCTGTTTAATGCATCTTAGAGAAAGGTGATGCCTTTCTAGTGAGGCTGCAACCTGTGGCTTTCATGTGGCACTAAGAGAATGGAATAATTCTGATTGTTCCAAACATTTCTGCAATATCCCCTTTTACATTTAACCTCAGTTTGAAAAAGGCAGAGTAGAAAGCACACAGGAAAATAGCCTCCAATCTTGTGATTTCTCCCTATTCTGTTGTATTAACTGCTGCTTTTTTATATATATTTCCAATTAGCTGCTTAGATTTAAGTGCAAACCAAAGTTATTGCAGACAATGTAGAAAAGGTGTGAGATCTTTATTGGTCTCTGGGGGAAGAGAATGTGGTTTCAGCTCTGCAGGCTGTGGTTACAACTTCACCTACATTTGAATCTGAAAATTGTCTGACTGAGGGACCGATAGCATGCTTGGTTCCCACATGTAATGATTGGATGCTGATTTAGGTTTTCAGTTTAAAATGTGAAGCCACCTTTTCTGTATGGTGATGGAACACAACCTTTTATATTTGTTCTTGTCTTCAAACAAGTTTCTACTTTATTTACAACTTCAGGTGAAGTTTTGCACATCAATAGATTTTATTTTGCTAGCTGCTCCATTGGTGGATTCTTCAAGCTGTCACATAACAATGTTGTGAAACTAGGTCGATGAGGCCTCCTTACCTTTTATGTGCTAATGTAGAGGAATGTGATCAAGGAGGTGGATTTCTTCCATGCACTAAGTGGGGGTTAAAAAGAAGTTTACAATTTTCTTTGGCATAGGATAGGACATTCAACCCCCCTGCTCCCCGTAATGAATTTTATTAAGGTTAAAATTTTATGAGCAAGTCATGTTCCTCTAATCCGATCTGTCCACTTTAAAATTAGCAATTTTAGTTTGCTGTTTTATGTTAGATTTGGAGCTCTTTTCCAAAATGTTTGAAAAACTGTTCAGATCAAAGAGCTGATGGTTTTACATACACTTACTACATTTCTCATTTGATGCTAATTGTAGCGTGTAGAGTTTCTTGCGTAGATACTTTACATATTCACTTGCACTCACTCTTCAAAATGTAGGATTTAGCTGTATGGAGCTATTTTTTTAAAAATGGCTTTGAATAGCATTTTCCCCCCCATGCCACCTCTTTTCAGGCTGCTAGTCTTGTAAATTCCTTTTATAACAAATATCCACCTGCGTCTACCACTCAACTTGCAATTCTTTCCACACCAGCCATTGCTATCTGTTGAGAAGTTAGCTTGATGACCTATTCCCAATTTTCTGTATTTTTACACAGTGATCAACTGCCACTGTCTGTTGAAGCATATCTTGAGTGTGCAGGTGTTTTCAGTATTACGATCAGATCATTGGGCACATTCAGGCAATGAACTGGCCTGGGTCTCTTGTGGTGGTTGGGATGTGGGTGGGGAGTGGTATGGATTGGAAAATTGGGGCTGAATGATAGGACCCTTTCTCCAACTCTTATCTGGGAAAACAGCATCCTGAATTTGACTGGTCTTGCTGGGTGATCTTTGTCATGAAATTAATTTCAAAAAGTATTTACTCTTTCCCTTTCACATTTCCTCATATTTTAAGAACATAAGCAACAGATGTTACCTTCCTGTTCCCTGAAGAGACAGTTGAATTATCTTGTCTCAGTTAATTTAGAAATCTAAACTAAATGAAAGTATGTTGTCAAGCTTAATTATAGTGAAATAAACAAAAATGGAATGAAACCTGGAAATATGTAGTAAACCAGTGAAGATCTAAAAAGAGGAAAGAGAAATTAATGTTTTGCTGCAAGTTACTGTACATAGTGTATGAAAAAATGGAAAGTAGGTTCCAACAAGCAACTGCAAAATGACTTTTTAGCATAGTATGTGATGATGTCTTAAGTTCATGGTCAGATTGCATTTGACTATTACTCTAACACACATTTTGCCAGCCAGTTAACGTTAGCTATCTCTGCCTATCTTTAGCTCAGTGACTCCCCCAAAAACATGTTTTTGGTAGTTCATATAAAATTAGTGATACTTTATAGAATTTTTTTTTTCCTCTCATTGTTAAGTCAGAATGAGGGAATAGAGCACAGTTTATCATCTTCCCTTTTTCGCCAACCTCTCAAAGAATGGTAACTGATCAGTTAAGACTGTTTTTCAATCTTGCTGCTACAAGTCATTGATTAAGAAGAAGCACTTCTACGTATGGTGTCCTTTTAACAAAAGAATGGGGACAGGTTTACAGAGCATTCAGAATGCTTTTGCTTTCATATCCAACATTATACTAATAATCGGAAACATAATGTATGTCAATATGAATACATTGCACAATTATAAAAGCACAGACATGTTGCAGGTACAGCAGGTCCATCAGTATCAGATGTCTCATCCCCAAAAATGGGATGCCCAGCTCTCCCACAAAACATAAGTCATTGAATGAACATTTCATTGTGAATTATTCTCCAGGTCTCCTGATCATGTTTAAGTGATTTGGATTGAAATGTGTGTTTTTGAATGTATGATATGTTGGGTGCAGCTGGACAGAGTTCCCCTTTGTTTGCCACACCTTAAATTAACCCATCACTGCCATCTTAGTTCGTGTATGAAGCACTGAACAGCAGCTAAGACTTGTGGAATCACATGACAGTACGTTACTGTCTTCAGGACAAGGGCAGAGTAATTGACGAAACAGCTTATATGGGAGGGCAGAAATAGTCTGATTGCAATGTGTACTCCCTTATGAAAGCATTTATGATGTTGTTCATAGCAAGTAGGTCAATACCTGCACATGATCCAAAACATTGAAGCTGAATGTAGTGGATAATTGTTTAAATTACTTCAGTGTCTCAAAATTCATCAATTTTGTACAATAATGAAGTGAAATATGTGAACTGTTTTTCCACCATTGGATCATATGGTAGTATTTCTTTCCCAGAATGTATTTTTCTTTGTCATATCTTTGAATTTGAATGATGGCAGAGCACGTTAAATGTTAGTTTTGTTTGCATAATGGGAAACACCCAAGCAGTCTTAGAGTCAACGGGTCATTGGGTTGATGGTACCAGAATCGTACCTGGGTCCAATTTGGTCATGAGGGATTCGTCGCTGGAACTTTAAAGTATTGGGATGTAGACATTTCTCATTTCTTCTGGACATGTCCATAGGACTCTGTGTAATGACACTCTGCTTCTCTTTCCCATTAAGTTACTGAGGAAGCACATTCCCAAATATGGTTTGTATGTAAAGGGCTTGTGCAAATAATTCATGAAATGTTATGTTAACTTCTATGGACTGAATATTTCAAATTGTCAGATTTTACTCCCTTCTCTGCAATCTTTTTTAAAAATGAGGAACCTTGGTAGCCTTCAGCACTGATGGTTTTTGCTTCCATGGCACCTCAAGGTGTGGGACTGTGACATTGTATGAAACGAAGCAGCATTAAAAATGGATAGCAAACACCTGCATGTGGATGGTTAGTGCAGGGTAGACACTACTGGCTGGTCACAGGATCCCACAGAACCCATTCGGCACTTATTCATCATGGAATTGTGTTTAAATTCAGTATGCGAAGGATTTAGGAATATGTCAAGTAAAACTTATTAAACTGTTTCCATTGATGTGTTTGTATTTTATTCTGGATGTTTGTTTAATCAGGCTAAAGAAAGTGAAGTCATACCGCTTTTTGTTATTAACAGCGATCTGATTGTGATTTTAATGTAATGAGGGATGTTGATGATGGGCTAAGTTTGAAAGTTTCTTTTTATTTTTAAACAAAACAGTCTCTTTTTGTGTTTCTTTGATTTTTTTTTATTCCCTGTTTCTGTTCATGGTTATCTATATTATGAAAAATGGCTGCCAGTGCTGCAGGGAAGGTACCCTGTGGTTCCCTTCAGCATCAGGTTTTAATGACAATTAAAAATATGCATTAAAGAGTACTTCTCCAAGCTTGTCGTTTTCTTTTCCTTGTTACGGCATCCCGGCATTTTGAAGCCCAAGATTAGACATGGCTGCTTCAGAATTAATGGATGAGCTAGTTGCAATCAGGAATGTTAAGTATTTATGTAACAGTGCTTCCCACTGTGACCCTGTTTTGAGGCTGGAAAATTGTCATAACCCCTCATTGAGAAATTAGAGAGCAGGTGTACTCTGTTATAGCTCAGAGTTCTACAGCAGCCATTACTGCCTCAGAGCTTACATCCTGGTCTCCACTCTGTAAAACTTTGCTGTATAAACTCGAATAGAACGCTGTTTTTCTTTAAAAGTACAGTTTAAGAAGAAAGTGTAGATTAGTAAAGGGAAATGCTGGATTCATGATAAATTCTAATGTGGAATTGATCAACGATGACTATGTGCATGAGTCTAATCAGCAATTATATATAATCTCAGCTTCATAAAAGTATGAGGAACTGACCACAACAGGAGTAACTTTTGGTAAGTGCTCCTGACCAGAAAGATGTAGATTTAAAAATATAAGTAAAATAACATATTTGGAATTGTAATATTCCCAGTGGCCAGACAGTTGAGAACTAGGGGTGACAGCCTAAGGATATAGGCTAGGACAGAAATGAGACATTTCTTCACTCGGGGAGGGTGAGCCTGTGGAATTCTGTGCCAAAAAAGCAGCTGAAGACAAAACATTGAATGTTTTCACGAACATGTTAAATATAGTTCTTAGGACTAAAAGGTATGTGGAGAAAGTGAAAATAGGATATTGAGTTGGATGATCAGCCATGATCATAATGAACAGCTCAGCAGGCTGAAAGAGCCAATGATTCTATACACAATTTAGGTGTTCAAGTTAGAGAGCATGTTGTGGGAATTCTCATCAGTATGAGATGACCATTAAACTCAGACCCAGGTACACTTGATAGTCATCTGACTCATACAAAGCTGTTTCATGTTATGATAAAGGTGCCATTATCACTGCATCAAAGCAATGTCATTGCAGTCTGTTATGCTGCTGCATTTAGTAGCGTTGCAAACAGGTTTTCTTGTTTGTTTAAAATTGCGGTGACATCTACAATCTCAAAAAAAGCAATTTCTATTCCATCTCTTTTTGAATTAACATGTAGGAAATTTTTATTTTAAGAAAAGCTGGAAACAAGTTAGTGGACATAATATTTCCTTGCTAATTTGTAGAAAATTGGTTCAGTTTTCTGTCTGCATTGCTACTCTTATGTTTTCTTCTGTCCCTCCCACCCAAATATTTGTGTTTGTTTACATTTTTAAACTTCAAAAGGTATATCCAGTAAAATTCAATTTTAATTATAATACATTTTATTAATTTAGCTCAGTCTTTTTTTAAAAATTTAGTAAGATGCAAACAACAATCGTCCTCTCTGGCCTAAGGTGCCATGTGTAGAATTTTTCCAAACTCCTCCTCTTTGTGTCCTGCTTGCTTTGAATTTACTCATTAACCAAACATCTGCTAAAATTAAATTTAGCCCATGTCTAAATGTAAACTTGAACTATAGAGCTGGATGTTACATTTTATCATCCCTCTCCATTTGTGGTTTGAGCAGAAGATGTGTGGCAATTCAAATATTCAACAATTGCGTTTGAATCATATTCTGCATTTTACAAGACACCATTGAGTATAATTTAAGGTTTTATTTATTTGAGTTGAGGAAAGGAATAAAACTGTTTGTAATGTATAAAAAAAATTGAGCATAGTTTCTTAATCTCCAAGTACATTTGCCATTGTTTTCAGCTAACATAAAAACTGGATTCTTTTTATTGTTCAAAATAACATCTCCCAATAAGCTTTCAGAGTTTATATGGTATCACATGGTGAATAAAAGAATCATTTCTTGGAACAGAAGATAAATGAAGTGGTTTGTTCTACATGGTGTCCTAAGCTAATGGTGAGGATGGAATGTATGTTTAAATAACCATCTAATATGACCGCACCGTAGGTTGAACATCTTGGATCCGCTTATAACAAGTTGTTGTAGCTGATTCGTAGCTACTAGTTTGCAGGGGAGATCTACCAAAAGAGATAGGAGATTATTATTATTATTAGTTTTCTCTCACTTGTTTCCTGGAAAATGCATTTTAAGAATGTTTGTTCACAAAATAATCTTCACATTGTGAACTAAAACTATTTAAAGTGTTTCTCTTTTAGTTCCTATGGCTTACCTGCAGCGAATGGAGTAAAAATCTTAGTTTAGAATGTTTACAATACTTGCCTTTCAAAAAATAGTCATATGAATAGCAACAGAAAAGTTTCTTAAAATTAGCATGAGCCCTATCGATTATTCCTTTCGATTTAAATATCATACTCCTTTCCTCGTGTACGCACAATACAAAACATAGAGAAACAGCAAGGAATATTAGTACATTTTTGTGGATAAATATACTAGATATCTAATTTTAAAACTACTGTTCATTGCAGCATAATTTAAATAATATTGAGGATGGGGAGTGGCAATGTCAGTATATCAACGTTGATTTGATTGAATTTGGCCATTGAGGCCTTATTGCTTTCAGGCCCTTCAGAGCCACCAGCAATCTTCAGTTGCTTGGTTCAACAGGGATTCCAAAATATATGCAGTTATTAAATTTGCCTATTCAGGAGTAATGTTACTGAGTGCTCAAGCTTGCAGTAAGTACAAATATTTTGTGACCAGAGATAGAATTATATTGAGTATCTAATAGACTGCGATTGAGGGCATGTCTTTGCTATTTATTACTGTCCTTTTGTGGCTGAGGGAGAAAATATTGTCAACTTCAATCTGACAAAAGATTCCCATTCAACACTTCTCCCGGGTCATGTCTAGATTTATAAGAATAATTTTACAGGAGTTCAAACCTTGGAGGAGAAAACCTAAAATGTTGTGCTCTGAGCTGTTTTTAACAGAACTTTAAAGATAGCATATAGGCTTCAAGTTTGATTTTAATTAGCTGATCTCAGTCAACTTAGCGAAAGAGAAAAAGTGGGCTGGGTGAGATGTAACAGAGGATCCCTCTTAAGCCAGCAAATTGGGATCATGATCATGGGAAGAAATCTGTTAGAATGTGGCTCAGTTGTGATGAGAAATCAAACTTGTTTCAATAAAATTGTGTTGCAGCTTTGAAAGTAATTCAATTTTACTCACTATCCTGACTGCATTTTTCTAAATTTCCATCTTAGTTCTGTTCAAACATGGTCTCGTCGAAGCATTTATGTTTTATTTGAATATATTTACCTTTGCGAATGAATTATGGATAAACTATATTTCTTGGCGATGCTCTGATTTTAAAAATGTTGGTTTATGTTATCTTTGGTTTTTGCATTTGAATTTGTCCAGCAGCCTCTGAACACTTGAAGGAGGAAGAGAATCAAGAAAGTCAACACCACCTGCAGTGTTCCAAAAGAGAGACCCTTGTGGAACTCGGCCCAGGGTTAAGATATTAAACTTCAATGCAGATCAGGAATGTAAAGTGCAGCTTTAAATAAATTGTCAAGGAAGGATCCTACAGTGGCCCTTCACATTGGGAGTTGGGTGGACGAGAGGTGAGGTGACGGGAAAGACAATTCCATCTTTTCTCTTTTAGCATGAAATAGTGACCCAGCTACCTCATTGAGACTAGTTTACTTGCTCCATTTTCAAAGTTTGCTTTAAAGAAATACATTTGGGTTTGTCTTCTATTACCTCTTGTGACATTTTGCCCCCCTGCCCCCTGTTTTTCCCAGCTATCCTCATTAAAATGAGTGTGCAGTTGTGAGATGAAGCTTAATGTTTTGCTGTCTGCTTTGAATGTTGATAAACTACATTTCAACAATTGGTATCAGAAGCACAACATAGTCAACAATATCAGATTATCAAAGAAGAGCTGGTTGCATGTAGTAATGTGGCTTGTAGGATGTGCATAAAAATATTTCAGTTTTACTAATAAAACTGAAAGTGGATTTATCACAACAATAAGCAATGTCTACCCTAAGCAATCAGATTAACTTTGCCAAAAAGATTCATTTTTTAAAAAAACAAACCATTTACTACATTGTAGTTGCTGAGTGAATTAAATATTTTCCATTTGGAAACAGTTTTAAATCATTCCTTGTGTCCCTGTGCCTAAGCAACTGAACACAATTTGAAGAGCCTTTTTTCCAGTGTAATCAATGGAATCTTGCTGTGCTGACCTGGGGAAGTGGTCCATTGTGTTGATATTTGCTATGCCAGCATATTATTAGGCCAGAGTAAATGACATGAGAAAAGGCTCAAATCTTCTGATTTGGCTTGGAATCCCAGTTTCTGACCCAGATCTGACACAATGTTTCCCACTTAACCTTTGGAGCTATTGTCTAGCTGAAGCAATGCAGTCCACTCCAAGATCCATACAGGCAGCATTGTAGTGGATTGGCACAGAAATGGTGCTGTGCTTGCTGCAGTCAGTGTTGTATTCCTGAGGCTGAAGGACCTAAAGTCATGTCATGTTGACAGCACTGGGAGAAATTAACTCTACAAAATAAATGAAGGCCTTGGGGTGACAGATGATATGGGTAGCTGATGAGTGAGAGGTGGGGATTGTTGGGTTCAGGGATTGGGTCTGTCATCATTGATGGGCTTAGATCTGGTTGGGGAGGGCATCTGTAGACTGTTTTTTGGGGAATGTGGTTTATAGTTAGGATGTAGAGCAGGTTTTGATCCCCCTAGCTTATTCAGAATTAGGGATGTTTTTGGACGGCTCCACAGGGTTTTTAACTTGCTGAGCAATTCATGCAGTGTCAGCTAAGTTGTAAGAAGAGTGTTACTGGATTTGAAATGTTAACTCTGTTTTTCTCCCCACATTTGCTACCAGATGTGCTGAGTTTATCCAGCATTCTCTTTGTTTGAGTTGGAACTTCTGTATGGTGCCAATGTGCCAATCCAGTCTATGGTTCAGCATCCTCCCATCAAGATCTGAGCCCGTGTAATTGCTTTCAGGGTGAACTTTATCCCCTTTCTCTTCTAAG